GCCTTCAACCGGGAAGGTAAAGCCTCTCTTCTCGATCTGTGTTTTACCTCCATCCCCGAGTCCTGTAGTGCCACGCAACTCTGCCCTCTTGGTAACTCTGATCATGCGGTAGTATCTGTTAACATCTCCTTCAACTCCACCCGCTGCAAAGAACCTCCTACCACAATAACTTCGTTCTACTATCAACGAGCTGACTGGGACGCGTTCCGTGATTTCCTCCGCGATGTCCCCTGGGATGTTGTCTTTACGCTCCCCGTCCAAAAATGTGCTTCTGAGGTCTCATCCTGGGTTAAAGCTGGAATCGACGCTTTCATCCTCTCAAGGAAATATAGGGTCAAGTCGCGCTCCTCCCCCCTGGTTCTACGCTGCTTGCTCAGCCGCCATCGCCCATAGGAACCACTTCTTTCGCCTATTTCGTAGCGACATGTCTGACTGCAATAGACGTCTCTTTGCCTCCGCCCGTAACGAGTGTAAGCGTGTCCTCAACGATGCTAAGTCACTATTTGCTGCTCGGATGAAGGAGCGTATTGCATCTCGCAAAATTGACTCCAAAGATTATTGGCATCTCTGCAAGAGCGTATTGAACAATTGCAAACCCTCTATACCTCCATTGTTCAACCAGTTCGAAGTCTTGACCTCCTCTGCCGACAAGGCTGAATGCTTTGCTCGGAAATTTTCATTCAACTCAGAGCTCGATTCTTCCGGTGTACCCATACCCGACTTCCCTCTTAGAACTGAGGCCCTACTGAGTGGGTTACACATAACCCTGTCTTTGGTATTGGGCATTATCTCCAATTTAGACTTCAACAAGGCTAGTAGTGGAGATGGGATACCAGCCATTGTCTTGAAGAAATGTCGCCCGCCCTCTCTAAACTATATAACTACTGCCTCAAGGAATCTTTTTTTCCTGTCTTCAAGAACACTGGCAACCCCTCTGACTCCTCTAACTACCGTTCTATCAGTCTCCTACCACTTTTCGGCAAAGTCTTCGAAGCCCTAATCATTACCGAAGTGGTTAACCACCTCACATCCCATGATCTGCTCTCAGACAAGCAATATGGCTTCCGCTTTGCCCGATCTACAGCTGATGTGCTTACAGCCATCACTGAAACTGTCTACCGAGCTCTTCAAAATAACGGAGAAGCTCGTGCCGTGGCCCTAGACATTTTCAAAACGTTTGATAGGGTTTGGCATGCCGGCCTTCTTCGCAAGCTCCAGGGTTATGGCATTACGGGTCGATTGTTTGACCTAATACAATCATTCCTGTCAAACCGTGAATTGAAGGTCGTTCTCAACGGATTCTCCTCCAGTTCCTATCCCACGAACGCAGGTGTTCCTCAAGGCTCCATCTTAGGCCCCACTTTATTCCTTATCTACATAAATGACCTTCCTGACGCCATAAATTCCCAAGTTGGCATCTACGCGGATGACACCACAATTTACTCCTGCCTCAAAAACAAATCTAGTGTCACTGACAAAGCTAACCTGGCCGTGCGTCTCGAAAAGGACCTCCAATCGGTTGTGAACTGGGGCAGGAATTGGTTGGTCAACTTTAATGCCTCGAAAACAAAACTGCTCTCTATTAATCACCACAGAGATCCTTCCCTTCCCTCCATTAGAATGTGTGACGCTCAACTTCCTGAGAGCAACTCTCTGCGGCTTCTCGGTCTCACGTTGACTGCTGACCTGGAACAAATACATTGAGTCAATTGCTTTGTCCACCGCAAGGAAAGTTGGCTCCCTGTGCCGCGCCAGGAAATTTTTCTCCCCGGAATCGATCCTCCAGATCTACAAATCAACAATTCGCCCTTGCATGGAGTATTGCTGCCATATATGGCCTGGAGCCCCTTCTGTTTGCCTCGTGGTTCTTGATAGGCTCCAGAGGCGGATATGCAATATAATTGGCCCTGCTCTGGCATCTCGTCTACAGTCACTTTCTCACAGACGCGCCGTCGCCTCTCTCAGTCTTTTTTACAAATACTTCCATGGTAATTGCTCCGAGGAGCTGCATTCGCTGGTTCCCAGACTTCATGAGTTCAAGCGCCCTACGAGGCTGGTATCCCGCTCTCAAACTTTCACTAAATGTAGCCGTCTCTTCTACTCCAATAGCTTCATGTCTCGCACCTCTCGCCTCATGTCTCGCACCTCCCTTCCTTATTCCATTTTCCCTGAGAGCTATAATCTCCAACTATTCAAATGTCAATCGACATTTCCAGTTGCCTTGATCTATCCACTACCTTTCTCATGACAAATATTAATCTACGCCCAGGCTTTTTCCCTATTTCACCTTATTTAACAGAATCACTACTCTCCCAAACAAACGTACAGAACAGTATCAAAGGACATTTTGTTTTGTTATTATTAGTTACTTTGTTTAATAAATTCATTTCGTTTTTACCTTGAAAAAGTCCACGTCGGGCGAATTTTTTTCATATATATATATATATATATATATATAGATTATACTAGTGGATACAGATATTCATGTTTAGGATTCTGTTCGTATGACCAAACACTTCAAACCAGAGGTTTGTTGATTTTTTTGTTCCAGGGTTATACTTTTTCACATATTCAATTAACCGTTATGAGTTATGATGATTGGTCACCCCGAGGCGGTGTAATGGATAACAAGCTTGTCTCGTTAGAACAATTACGACTGAGCAGTGAGTTCGATCCTCACTGGTTGCCCCATACTTTCGGCCTTGTGCCACATCTAAGCTATGCTTGGAAAATCACTATTAGTTATGATAACGCCATGGGCATAGTCGTGATATTTCATTAAAGGTACAAATCGATATGTACAAATCAGTACTAGTGACATCTTGGACTCTGGGCCGGCAGCACATCAATGCTTGGCCTATGTAGCATCTGCAAGATAAAACTGAGCGATCGCATTAGAAACAGTGATTAAATAGAACATGACAGCTATTGAAGGCATCTTCATGAAATTTCAATGTATGTCTCTCTCTCTCTCTCTCTCTCTCTCTATATATATATATATATATATATATATATATATATTACATTCAACATCATCATTTGATAAGACACCGGGGGTGTTGAAACAAAATGGATATTTTTGTAGTGATTTTATAACATATTCATGTTATAAATTTTTTTAAAAATAAATAATTATATATATATATATATATATATATATATATATATACCCAAGTATAGGATTGGTGTATACGGAATAAATTCCAATAACCAACAAATACTATTCTTAAAAGAGTGCTCAATACAGAATAGAGCAAATATAATTATTTATTCGAAAATTATAACATAAATATGTTATAAAATCACTACAAAAATACCCATTTTGTTTCAACACTTCTGGTATCCTATCAAGTAATTGTATTGAATGTAGAATATAGATTCTATATTCGACACCATCACTTGATAAGACACCAGACGTGTTGAAACAAAATGGCGGTATTTGTAGTGATTTTATAACTTTTTTATGTTATAATTTTCGAATAAATAATTATATATATATATATATCTATATATCTCTATGTATCTATGTATCTATATCTATATATATATATCTATATTTATATATATATAGATAGATATATAGATATAGATAGATAGATATATCGTAATCACGATTCAATTCATCAGATCTTCAAATTCAAAATCTCTCTCATATATATATATATATATATATATATATATATATATATATATATATATATATATACATATATATATATATATATATATATATATATATATATATATATATATATATATATATATATATATATGTTTAGTTTATGCAAAACTAGGTAATGCATATGGGTAGACCCAAGGAGGATAATATCTGTAGAGCTCAATGTAAATTCAGAGCAAATATGTTTGAATAAAAAAACAGACCACTTTAAGGTTCCATGTAATAAATTATTTCACCACAGCCCTTTTAAAAGGGCTCTGGATCATCAGACTTTACTTCCAAACAAGAAATGAAGAATGAAAAGAAATTTACACATTTTTGACGGGCCGTATTAAGCATGTGTAAATGTGTAAATTTCTTTTCATTTTTCATTTTAACCTTTGGAAGTAAAGTCTGATGATCCAGAGACCTTTTAAAAGGGCTGTGGTGAAATAATTTATTACATTGAACCTTAAAGTTGTCTGTTTTTTTTTATTCAAATATATATATATATATATATATATATATATATATATATATATATAGGGAGAGATTTTGGCCCCTATTGTAGAGCCCTATGACAGATTGTCCACTTGTATCAGAATATATCATGTTCATTAAGTATTTCCTCCCATTTGTTCGTAAAGCCAAATTAAGACAGGTTTGATGTGCGTTTTAGTTTATGTATTAGAACGTATGTTAGAAGTTCAATAACTCCGAAGAGTGTTATATTTCCAAGAATAAACAAATTATGATGAACAGGACAAAAAAAAAAAAAAAAGAAAGAAGAAGCACAAAATTTTAAACAATGTTCTGTTCCCGTGCGTTTTGGGGAGCAATACTAGGTGGCGGGGGTGTACTGGATCAAATTCCCATATTAAAACATTTGTTTTTCAATATTGAACTAATCAACGGATGTGAGGCGGCGAGAAAGGGGGAAGCGAACTTCTGAAGAGATAATTAACACCTCAAAACGAGGGTAACGATGGCAGCGGCAGGGGGGGGGAAGTTAATTACCATCATACGAATACAAACGAAATAAATCAATCAACCAATAAATAAATAAAGACTAAGAGAAAGAGAGAGAGAGAGAGAGAGAGAGAGAGAGAGAGAGAGAGAGAGAGCGTGAGAGAGAGGGGTGAGGGTGGATAGAGATTAACGATATCCATATTTGGTGGAGAAGATTCAAAATCTAATTTATTGCAAATTAAACCTGACAATAATTTCACAGTGTATGCATAAGTGTGCATATGTATGCATGAGTGCGCCCATGAGTGAAATATGCGTTCAAATGTGCTTGTGTGTCCGTGGATGTGATTGTGTGCGTAAGCGTGCGCCGTATTTACAGAAGTGAATGTCGATAAAAGGGGGGAGAAAGGAAAGAATTGGATGTTGATGACGTCACACACACCACATGCACAAAAAGGGATAGATAGATAGATAGATAGATAGATAGATAGATAGATAGATAACAGAGATCGATCGGTCGATAGATAGATAGATAGATAGAGAACAGAAATAGATAGATAGATAGATAGATAGATAGATAGATAGATAGATAGATAGAATGATAGATAGATAAAGAACAGAAATAAATTGATAGACAGAGAGACAGACAGTCAGATCGATAGATAGATAAAGAACAGAGATAAATAGACAGAAAGATAGATAGATAGATAGATAGATAGATAGATAGATAGATAAAGAACAGAAATAAATTGATAGACAGACAGATAGATAGATAAAGAACAGACATCGATCGGTCGATAGATAGATAGTTAAAGAACAAAGATAGATAGATAGATAGATAGATAGATAGATAGATAGATAGATAGATAAAGAACAGAAATAAATTGATAGACAGACAGACAGACAGATAGATAGATAGATAGATAGATAGATAGATAGATAGATAGGAAGAGATTGAAATGGATATATAGAGAATGAGTACGACATGAATAAAATACATCAAATATAAATATATAAAATTATATTAAAACAAACACTCAAATACGCATGTGTGTGTGTGCGTGTGAGTGTGAATTAAGTGGCCACCCCCCAAAAGAGGAGTGAACAGAATAGTGGATGGTTTCGCTTCCCTCGCTTGTAGAAATGGACTCAGCCTGATGGCGTATGTGTGACGTAGCTGCAGCAGCCATAGGATGCAGATACGATTTAGCATCAGTTCAGTGCGAAATAATTGATGGGGATCTCCGATGTGGCATCTTCTCTTTCCAACAATAAAAAGGATACAGCAGGAAATATTTAAATTCCAGAAAGACGACTACAGGCAACAACAGTTGATGTAAGAATTATTGGCGCCTGAAAATGCTTGTAAAATACCCAATAAAAGCAAGCATTGCATCACATCCCAATTCAAGTCATCAGCCAACGTATTGTACAACGTACATTGCATTTCATTGAGTTTCGTAGTTATCAACCTGTTATTGTCTCATTAGCACGAGTTACTGGACTCACTTTCCCTAGGACAGAAAATATTGTTTTTTAGACCGCAGGAGATAGACACTTTGTTACCTGTTTAGAAAAGTGTTGTGGAATCCGAGATGAAATTCGGTCTCCAATGAATGACAAACGCAGAAATGAAATAAAGCAAAAAAATGTATTTACACAATAATACAATTGGTAATATGGTTAGTAAATCCAGAAACGCGGTTAGTAGCAATAATATATATATATATATATATACAGTCTGGTAAATTCAGTCTCGAAGTAGGACTTCCTTAGAGTCTACGTGTTCGTAACTGTGACTTCTACAAGCGTTTACCTCACACTATTACTCTACCTCCAACTCAATCACAATCTCTGTCTCTCTCTACTCTGACTGACTCTGGGTATTTAACGGCAGCAGTCCAAGTACACACTGGTCGAGTCCACTTGTATGAAAAAGGGTTGACCCCATAACAAAAAGTTACATGAATAGTTTTTTCGTGGAGACAGTCGAGTTCGTGTTTGGAGGAGATCGCGTAAGATTATGGGTTCAGTATATCAGCAACGTGGTGTGTAAATTGGTGGAGACTTATAATGATGTTTAGTGTGCTCTGTTGCAATTCGTAAGTACTACAAATATAACTAATCTGTCTTGAAATTTCTAACGTATACAGAATCTATCTGAAATCATTTGGGATCATCATGTTTTACATCCTTTAGCAAGATAATGCAACAACCTTTCGTGAGCTAGTGACGCAAAACTGCTTCTAGAAACACTTGGCTCACTTTCAAGTACTCCATTGATCACTACGCTCGTCACTAAATTTCAATCAGCCATATTCAACAAAAAACATTATATTATGGACAGCTTAGATATAGCCTGGATATATACATATATAAGTGAACATATATTTATACACGCTCTGTCACTGATATTGAGCACTTCATCTCATAAATATAGCACACCTTAAGAGTATATTTCTTCATATATATATATATATATATATATATATATATATATATATATATATATATATATAGCAAAGTTTCAAGCGTCTCTCAGATTCCTTAGCATGTCAAGTAACCGCTGTTATTCAGGTGAAGAGAGTATGCGAACATTAATAGTATGTAACATATATATTTAAGATATATGTATTTAGGTTGCATGTCTTCATTAAAACAAGTTTCATTGAATAATACAGGGTGTTCCAAAAGTCTTGGGCCCATTTTGACATTGAATATCTCGAAATCTATGAAGGATATAAAAACGCGCCTGACATATTCTGAAAGAATTTAATCTCAAGTTTTACATGGAATGTTCTAACATGTTCAATGTGAGCACCATTGGTCACACGGCACACATCAAGCCGATAGTCCAGTTCCTGCCAAACGCGTTCCAGCATTGCGTTGTCGATGGTTGCAACAGCTTCCGTTATTCAGGCCTTTAGTTCATCCATGTCTTTTAGAAGGGGAGACACATAGACCAGTCCTTTCACAACACCCCCCCCCCGCCAAAAAAAAGAAATCGCAGGGTATGAGATCTGGAGACCTGGGAGATGCATGTTGAACAAGTGTCCATGATCCAGTTTTGGCAAATTCAAGGACGCAAAATGTCTTTCCTAATTGAGTGAAGGCCATTACTCAATCTGAAAAAATATGAAAAAATCATTAGCATTACAAAAAAACTTAAAGAATTTAGCTTTAAAATGGTACCAGTTTCATCTTACTACCATTCATAGTTCAGTAGATATGAGGACTTGAAATGTTCTCAAGGCTTCTGGAACACACTGTATAGATATATATTTTGTACTTATTTTTATACTGACCCTTTCCTGTTGTCTATTCATTTTATTGATGTTAAGATAAAATTCATCAAGGAAGGCGCCGTAGTTTTTTTTTTTTTTTTTTTTAGCCCTAGTACTTTCGACCTTTTCTAAGATCATCTTCAGGAGTATATTACAAAGACAAAATTATTGCAACTGCTATAAAATCTGCATTCCGCTGTGATGATGATTTTTAAAAACGTGCAAAAACGCTCTGTTATTGTCATTTTAATTCATCCATTGTAGTTACGGAATTTTTTGCAATACAATCATTTCAACATAAAGGAGTTGTCCTGAAATTAGTACAAATCTAAAATGGCGTTAAATGTTACAGACACTTTAATATGTTGTTACTATATTCGTAATAAATTTTGTTGACTGTTGGTTGGTTGATTTTGTATATACAAAGTATGTGTGTGCGTGTATGAGAGAGGGACAGAAGCAGATAGAGAGGAAGGAGAATATCTTAAGAGAAGTGTTTCAAAGAACATAATCTCGTCCTCTAAGCTTGCTAGTCATCAACAGTTGACTAACAACAGAATTTATTCAGGGGTTGATAGTAATAACCGGTGAAATATTAATGAGAAAAGCTGATAATGTGATGGTAGTTGATCATGTTTAGACCAGAGGCTGGTCGATAGTAGCCATTGACCTTATGCAGAAACTTCGCAGCTCTGACTGTTATTTTAATCCTTGGAAGGGAAAGCTACTGTTGTTATGTTACGAAATTTAACTAAAAAGTTTCACCAAACAGTACCAGCCAAAATTAAGTATTAGCAGTGGCGATTCTAAGGGGTGGGGACAGAAGGGCCCCCACTCCCTCCGAATTTTGGCTGGCCCCACAGTTGCCACCCCACTTTTCTAAGTTTTGTAAAGGAAGAAAATCAGTGTTTATGAAATTGATTGGTATTGATCAAAAACGAACAGTCGGTGTCAATTTCCATCTCACAAATGAATTCGTTTATCTGAGCTAAAATTTATTCTATAAAATAGTAGATCCATTACATGTTGACTTTCTTCTTTTTCTCCCCTCATTTAGAGGGACTTGATTTACTTTCTTAAACAGTTTTGGAAAATGATTGGTACCGCTTTAACATGTGTCCGACCGATCAGTTCCTGCTTTAGTGTGTGTCCTACCACCGCCATTTGTATTCTACATTATTAAGACATTGTCTCGGCTTTTTTCTCGATGTTTTAAAAGACATTCAGAATGTTTTTATTTAAGAGATTCAAATATCTTGTTTTATGATCATTTTTTTTAGTCAAATTTCTTATAATTTTTTGGGGATTTTAAATTTTATAATACAACAATAAATGGCATCTCTCCTTCAGTTTTTGCTTTTCCCCTTACGTTAGATAATGTCGGATATAAATCTGGTGATAGGACACACTAATCGGCAGGACACACGCTAAAACGGCATCAAATGAATTCCTATTTTGATTTTTAAAACAATTGTTCCGAAGCTTGACGTTTACTTGTGAGTTTTTTCTGTATTTATCAACGCAACCAAAAAAAAAACTAGTTTCTCTGGTTTTTACACCTTATTGAATTTTTAATCTAACATTTTATATACACTTTCATTATCTACATTTTTAATACTAGCAACATCTGTAGTCCCTAATGTCATAGTATAAGTCACCTTGATCGTTTTTTTCATATGATATATTCTTTAGACAAGTCTTTTTTATGCTTTCATTTGAGAAACTCCAAACAAATTTGTTCTTTAAGGCTTTATTCAAAAAGTGTTACGAAGTCTTACGTTGGATAGAAATGTTTTAAACGTGCAAATAAATTGTGTACGGACTCACCTGTCTCTTGTTTAACGCCATGCAGTGAAGATTCTGCGGGGGGGGGCGACTTGGGCAATATCCCCCCCGCCGAATTTTGGCTGGCCCCTCGGTTGCTCCCGCCTACTTTTCTAAGTTTTGTAGAGGGGGAAAAACCCCAGAGCAGACAAATTACATTTTCCTGCTAGTATTGATGTTAGTATTTAACCCTTTGATTTTGTTTTGAAGTTAACCTCTCTTGTGGTCCAACAGATTGAGAGTGGAAAAGAGGGCAAGAATAGATTAGAACTCCACTACTATGAATGAAAAGTTATTCCGTTTAATTTAGTGAAGTAACATACTTATTACTAATACTCATTCCCAAGTTGTGTATACGATAGTCGATTAGTATTAAAGATGCTGCTTGAATTTGCACTCCACCTCCTCCGCAGAAAAATCCCGGTCCCCAAGTGCCCCCAAACACTTTCAGAGTTCTAGTATCGCCACTGAGTACTAGGCTACTGAGGAATTAAGTAAACTGAGAAGAAAAGGAAAAGCAAGATAGATCAAAACTATAATGGAGAGAAAGAAGAGTCTAGATAAGCAGGGCGAGTTTGGTTTTATTCGTTGAAATAAACTTAGAAAGTACTAGACACGCCCAACAATAAATAAGGAGAATTTATCATCGAGAGCGAATATCTTTGAGAAAATCGTAAACGAATATCTCTGAGAGATTAATATGTATAGCTCTTGTTATTTGTTTAGGAATGTTTGTCGAATGATTTGAGACTAATTTTTTTTTTTTTTTGCTTTGCGCTTACTTGATATGTTCTGTTAAAATCTTATCAGTTAGTAGTAGAGATGGAACTCACGTATAAATTTTGTGGGTCTGACTATCACGGTACCCCAATGGGACAGAAATATTTTCCTT